AGTGGCTAATCAGATAGAAGTCTCAGGGACTTTCCTGCCTGGGCTGGCTCCAAACTTCAGTCCTCAGATCTCAGCCTCCTTAGCAGCTAGGATTACAAGTGTGAGCCTCCAGTGCCCTGCTCCAAATGTTTTCTTGATGAGATGCTAATAGGGAACGTTGGGAGAATAGATGAGCCTCATCACACCGGAATTTCCTGAAAACACCAAGTGCTGCTCATCAATAAAAGGAGAAAGTGCTTTCAGGTCCCACGCACTGTAAATAATAGGATTTTATTAAAAATCCACTGCAGATGTAAACGCTACCTTGAAAATAGGCACTTGAAACAACTGCTGTCAATCTAGAAATATATAAGTAGGTATTGCCTTGGTGGGTAAGAAGATTTCTATTTCCTTGAGATGTTATACATCCTGGCCGGTATACAGCCTTCCTCAAGCCATGATGTAGCACAGCCTACCCACACACGAAAGGCTGTCACCAAGGTGTGGGTGCACTTTTGCTCAGAACATCAGCTGCCATTTGAATTAGGAAATGCATTAAGTCACGCTACCATTTTAAATTTATCTTGTTCAGGTTTTATCACTCTGACAAATGAGAAACAAAAGGCTTTTGTTTGCTAACCATTTCTTTTTAACTCTTCGGTGGGGGAAGTAACCCAATGCTGGTGGCTCACAGCTATAATCCTAGCTACTCAACAGTTCAAAGCCAGTCTGGGCAGAGAAGTCTATGAGACTGGTTTCCAATTTGTGACCTCCCTTCCCACCCCCCAAAAAAGAACAACTATGGCTCAACTGGTAGAGCATCAGTCTTTAGCGGAAAAAGCAAGAGCTTGGGGCCCTTGGTTCAAGCCCTAATACTGGTAATGTTAGAAAAATAGAATGGTAACCCCTCTGTACATCACCCTATTAACAAAAACAAGAGTGCTTCTGAGTTTTCATCATAAATACCCTATCTACACTCTTACGGCGTTTATCACAAAATACCACTTATAACTTACCATTCTTAGATCTCACATTTAGGATCAGCTCAGAATACAGTGACTTTCTCATTACAAACCAAAATGCTTAGATAGAAGGCCCTGAATCGTGGAGCCTAGGCAAGCCCTTTTCTATCTGATTTGGTACAAGACTTTTTTTTTTTTTTTAAAGCAACCCTTGTCCAAACTCCTCAGTATATCTTGTTTTATTACACCTACTTCCACTAGATGGCACTAAAGATTGTGTTTTAGCAATCAGGCCTTGCTGGTGAAAAGAGCAAAAGAGATTTCTTTGAAATAAGCTATACATTTCTCTGGTTCTTTGTCCTGTCAGGACCAGTTTTGTAGAAAGGAAACCATGGGGCACTGGTGGCTCATGTCTGTAATTCTAGCTACTCAAGTGGCTGAGATACAGAGGCCAGCCTGAGCAGAAAAGTTTGCTTGGCAAAAAGCCAGGCTGGAGAGGCATGGCTCAAGTGGTAGAATACCAGTCTAGCAAGTAAAAGGCCCTGAGTTCAATCCCTGGTACCACCACAAACAAAAGAGATGTCTCATTCATTTATTCACTCACTGTTTCAGATATCATGCCCTGAATTAGTGATGCAAATAAGACAGCATTACGAGCTCCCAGTGTGGGAGGGGAGGCTGTAGCAAGAACTGAACCAGATACGAAGACAGAAAGTTGAAACCTGGAATGCCAAAGGCCTGACAGATGTCACTAGTGAGTCCTGGCCCCAGAGGGACACTTCAGACTTTGTGAACTGATGGACGGAGAAGCTGATGTCTGATCTCTGAAGAAATGAAGCTGGCTGGGCTGCAGGGGTAGGGCTGTGCTTCTTTAACATGTGTGGGGTTTTGTCCTGGGCCTCTCCCCTTCTCCCCGTGCCCATGCTGCCCCTAGCCACCCAGCCGTGTAGCTGTCGCTGGGCTGAGCAGACAAGCCCCCACCCAAGCTCCCCGGGCTGCTTTCTCCCCGCTCATCCAAGTGGACTGCCCTTCCCTTTCGAGTCTAGGCAGTGGAACCACCTTCTTCCTCGGGGACACCTCCACGTGAGCCAGGGACACCCAATCTGCTCTTTGCTCCGCTTCACATCCCTGCAGCAGTTTCCCACAGGCCAGGGCCCGTGTAGTTTATGCTGCGTGTGGTTACTGGTGCGGTCCCCACTGGAGGACAGGCTCCAGGAGAGCTGGGACACTTACAAGGTGGTGTGCCTGGCACGCCGTATGTCCATGTTTCCGTGGAACACCACGGAACCTGCAGTGAAGACAGCTGAGGACTCATTGCAGGTTTAGACGGCTCAATGACTGTACTGAAGAGTGAGCCAGGCAGCCTGGACTTCAGAAACAGCACCATGGGGTTAGAAAGAACAGATTCAAAACATGGACCCTGTGAGTCCATAGGAGCCCCAGCTCCCATGTAACAAGAAGACTGGCATGTTAACATTCCTCACTTCAAATACTGTCCCACATCGGTATTTGAGAAGAAGAGGAAGAGCATTAAAGAAACAATAAGTAAAAGAGAGCCAAGAACCCTGGGAAGAAACAGTGCTGCAGAGAAGAGGGAAGGACAGAGGTTGAGAGGTGGAAGGAAATCAGGAAGCCAACCAAGGGAAAGAGCCAGCTTCAAGAAGGAGCTTGAGCTGGGCACAGGTGGCTCACACTTGTCATCCTAGCTACTCAGGAGGCTGAGATCGGAGGCTTGCGGTTCAAAGTCAGCCCAGCAGTGAACCCCAATGAACCACCAGAAACCTGGAAATGGCGCAGTGGCTCAAGTGGTAGAGCACTCACCTTGAGCACAAAAAGGCTCAGGGACAGTGCTCAGGCCCTGAGTTCAAGTCCCAGAAACAACAAAGAAAAAAAAAGGGGGGGGGGGAACTTGTGTCAAAAGCGATCATAGATTCACTTACACAAGAAGGAATAGGGATGTGGCTGAGGTGGTAGAGCCATGAATTCAAACACCAGTGCTGCACAAATGGAATCAAACCAAGCCAAAGCCAAAGGAATGAACAAAACTGAGCAGGAGCACCCTCCCTACCCAGCTTTCTCGCCATCGATGTTGGATCAAACGCGGTTTCAGAGGAGTAGAGACAGCACCAGTCAGGAAGAATCCCCAGGGTAAACATGGAGGAAACCGAGAGCAGACGAGCCCAGAATCTTGGCGACTAGGAGACTGCCTGAGCTAACACACATGTACTTATCACACATTTCCTAACCGGAGAAGCTGGACTTGCGGCCATGGGCAGTGAGATCCTGCAGGAAGGAGAGCCGGAGGGAGCGCTGGCCTGGGGTCGGGGCTGGGAGCAGAGTCCCCCCAGCCCAGCAGAAGGCCAATCTGCCCCGGTCAGAGTGTGTGTGGACAGTGGAGCACTTAGGAAAGCACCCCTGTGTGGATGGAGGAGCACCTAAGAAAGCACCCGTGTGGATGGAGTAGCACTTAGGAAAGCATCCCTGTGTGTGGATGGAGGAGCACCTAGGAAAGCACCTCTGTGTGGATAGAGGAGCACCTAGGAAAGCACCTCTCTGTGTGTACGGGCAGAGCACCTAGGAAAGCACCTCTCTGTGTGTATGGGCAGAGCACCTAGGAAAGCACTCAGTGTGTGGACAGAGGAGCACCTAGGAAAGCACTCTGTGGATGGGAGGAGCACTTAGGAAAGGACCTCTGTGTGTGGATGGAGGCGCACCTCGGAAAGCACAGCATGCGGCTCAGAGCCAGGTGTCAGGCCCCCCCCCCAGGCGGAAGGCCTAACCAGAACTGACACCCCGCCAACCTAGAGAGGCCCAGAGCCCACCCCGCTGGGTGAGCAGTGCTCTGCTCCTGAGCGCCGAGGCCCCGCGCCAGCGCGCGCATGCGCCAGCCCGCCAGGCCCGGCACCCCAGCCGGGCTCCCTGCAGCCGGCGCTCGCCCGCTGCCGTCACGGCTTCGCCTTCGGCTTTTTGGTGGCTAGCTGGAGCCGAGGCTCACAGACTTTCCTGCCCAGGCTGGTTTCGAGCCGCGATCCTCGGCTCTCAGCCTCCCGGGCGCCCAGAGTCCGGTCGCGGCCGGGCCGTCCCCCGCGGCGCCATTGTGACCCGCCGCGGTCCGTCTCCCGGGCGCAGCCCGCGGGGTCCCGGGACGCGCGGCGAACCCCGAGCCCTCACACCCGCCGTGCCCCGCCCTCTCCGCCCCCCGGGGGGGCTTCCGATTCCACACCTCGGCCCACCGGCCTCCGAAACTCCCCAGACGCCCGCGGGCCGCGGGAGCCCCGTGACCGCCGGCCAGGCCCCGGCTCCGAGCGCGGCGGTGGCGACGGCGGCGGCGGCCTCGCCGCCTACAACTCCCAGCATGCTCCGGGCCACGCCTCGGGACTGACGGCTCCATTCGCCAATAGGAGGGCCCGGCCAGAGTCCGTGGGGCCAACTGGAGGGCGCGAAGGTGGCCGTCCCGGCGGCACCTCAGCGCGGCCTTTCCTGTAGGAGAGAGTCAGTCTTCGTAAAATGGTGACGCTGACTACACTAAGTCGCTCAGTCCAAGCCTTACTTTTTTCGCCCCTAGGTTTCGCCTTTGGCCTTTAGCTTGGTCCCCACTGCGCGGGAGGGGGACTGGCGAGGAGGGGGAACTTCTCCAAATCTTACTGGGTGGTGGTGGTGTCCCGGAGAGGGCGGGTAGGGCCGCCCCTGGACGGCGATTGGTCGTCCCGGAGCCAGCCTGGGCTGTGATTGGCGCGAGCAGTCGGGCCTGGGCCGCCACGCCGGGAGGCCGTGCGCCCTCCCCGCCCGCCTACCGCGGGAGAGTGCGGCGCTTGTCGCGTGTGCGGGGCGGGGCCGGCTGCGGGCGGAGCGGGCGGAGGCCGGGGGGGGGGGCGTGCCAGCCGCAGCTCGAGGCCCGGCAGCCGAGTCGGGAAGGACGGGGACGCGCCCGGTTATGGGCTGCGCAGGCGAGGGCGGGGCGCGACGTCGGATCCCCGGTAGATCTGCGGGCGGGTCCGCGGGGCCGCCCTCCCCCGCTTCGCGCGCGCCGCCCCGCTGGGCCCCGGGAGAAGAGCCCCCATGGTCCCCGCTCTCCGGGGCGCTCTCCGGGCCGGGCCGGACCCCCGCGAGCCCGCCCTGGCGCCCCTGTCCCCGCCCCCCCGGGGGCCCACGCCGGTGGACGCGGTCAAGACGCACTGCCCGTCGTGCCTGGGGCTGTTCCGGGTGCCGCGGCTGCTGCCGTGCCTGCACACGGTGTGCACCGCGTGTCTGGAGAAGCTGGAGCCCTTCTCGGTCGGGGACGCGGACGCCGGCTCCGAAGGCCTGGCGCCGCTGCCGCTCGGGCCGCGCGTCGGCATCCTCTGCCCGGTGTGCGAGGCGCAGGTGGACCTGCCGGCCGGCGGTGTGCAGGCCCTCACCATCGACCACCTGGCCCTGAGCGACGTCCTGCTGGAGAGCCGCGGCGGGGACGGCCCGGGCCCGGCGGCCTGCGACCTGTGCGGCGCCGCGGGCGCGGACAAGCGGTGCCAGACCTGCGGGGTCAGCCTCTGCCCCTTCTGCTGCCAGGCCCACCGGTAACCACGGGGCCCCGCCCTCCGGGTCCGAGCGGGGAGGGGGGCGGCAGGAGAGCGTTCCGAACAAGGGGAGGGAACGGCTCACGCACCTGTCATCTCATCCCAGCCTCCCAGGAGGCCCAGATCTGAAGATCGTGATCCAAACCCCGGGCTGGGAAAGCTGCGGAGGTCTTACCTCCTCCCATCGGCCACCAAAAAGCTAGAAACAGAGCTGTCTGTGGCTCACGTAGTAGAGCCTTGAGCGAAAAGCTCAGGGTCAGGGCCCAGTCCCCGGATTCAAAGTCCAGGCAGGACCAGCCACCAGCACAAAAAAAGAAAAGGAAGGAAGGAAGGAAGGATGCCAACAAGAGCTAAAGAACAGGACTGGGAAGGTGGCTCAGTGGTAGAGTGCTCGCCGCTCATGCATGAGGCCCTGGGTTCGGTTCCTCAGCACCACATAAGCAGAAAAAAAGCCGGAAGTGGCGCTGTGGCTCAAGTGATAGAGCGCTAGCCTTGAGCCTGAAGAGCTGAGGGACAGCGCCCAGGCCCAGTGTTCAAGCCCCACAACCAACAACAAAAAAGAGCTAAAGAACAATATTCAAGGAATTTCCCTGAATAACAACCTGATAGAATAGTAATAATAGAATAGTAATAATAGCAGTAAAGATTTGCATAGTCTATTCATGTGCTGGTACGGGGGTTTGAACTCCGGGCCTGCGTGCTGTTTCTTAGCTTTTTCTTGGCTTTTTCACTCAAGGTTAGTATTCTACCACTCTATGTCCAGCTTTTTGCTGGTAAATTGGAGTTAAGAGTCAGCCCAGGCTGACTCTGAACCGTGATCCTTAGATCTCAGCCTCCTGAGTAGCTACAGTTACAGGCACAAGCCACCTGTACCCAGCCTTCACGTGGTTTTTTCAACTTGGAGCTTCCTTCCATCACTTGGTCGGTAAATAATTGTAGTGGGTAGTGGAGAAACAGGAAGATGAATCATCGCAGAGACCCTGCCCTTGGCCTTGTTTGATCCTGCTTGCAACCCTTACAGGAAGGCACCCACTCTCTTTGTCTTGGGGAGACTGAGGCTCAGAAATTTGAAATCTGCCAAGGAGCCACAACTGGTGAGAAGTGAATCAGTCTAGATGTTCTACTCTGATCTGTGCTCTTTGCGGTTACACATGGTGCTGTCTCGGTGTAGGTGCCAGCTTGATTGGCAGAGGCTCTGCCTTGGCTGTGTGCCTTACAGCTGGTGAATGGAGGGACTGCAGATACTAATTGGAGTATAGATGTTGACAGTTTTTGGTCAGATGGATCACTCTTGTCCCTTCTTCCCACCGCACTCTAGAACTTCAGTATATAAAATCACCAAGGTTTTAGGATTAATCCAGAATAGTTTTTCCATCCTGGCTTGCATTTGTCATCTGGCCTCACCAACAGGCCAAGCCTCTCGTTTTCACTCTATTTTTAACTTGTGTGATGGTTGCTAAGACTGCCAAACAGCTGTTTTCTCAGGAGCCTCTCTTCTGGTGCCAGGAGAGGTCCTAAGGTTGAGTTGACAGATTGGCTCAGGGAACTCTAGATAGCCCTGGTGGCTTCGTGGGGATTTCCTTGAGTCTTTACAAGAAAAGAATGACAGCCGAGCTCTGCTTGGGCATTGATTTCATGTTCAAGTTGTGCTGACCACACTTGGAAAGTCCGGCTGCTGATGGAGTGGTGTAGGTGCTGGTAGAGGGACTGGTTTAATAAAATCTCAGGGAAGAGGCGGGGGAGACTCTTCCCAGGCAGGCTACGTGCTTCAGTTGGTGCTCGGTCAGCTGTGGTTTGTATCGCTTGGTTTGTTTGCATCAGGCTCTCAGCTAGGTTTGGGATGCGGGCTGTGCTATGCCACTCCCCCCACCCCCATCTAAATGTGCCCAAATAACTCTTGGGAACAGTTTCAGGGTGTGTGTGTATACACACACGTGTGTTTGCTGGTCCTGGGCCTTGAACTCAGGGCCCCATCCTCTTGCTTGGCTTTCTTTATCCTACTTGAACCATGGCGCTACTTCTGCTTTTTTTGGTGGTTAACTGCAGATAAGAGTTTGCGGGCTTTACCCCCTGCCTCGGCTGGCCTCGAACCTCAATCCTCAGATCACAGCCTCCAGCCACCACCCTGGGCAGCGTTACAACCCGAGCCGAACCCCGGTCCACCCCGAACCTTGGCCCACCTCCGAACCCCGGCCCACCTCTGAACCCTGGCCCACCTCGAACCCCGGCCCACCTCTGAACCCCGAACCACCTCGAACCCCGGCCCACCTCTGAATCTCGGTCCACCTCGAACCCCGGCCCACCTCTGAACCCTGGCCCACCTCGAACCCTGGCCCACCTCCGACCCCCGGCCCACCTCTGAATCCCGGTCCACCTCGAACCCCGGCCCACCTCCGAACCCCAGCCCACCTCTGAATCCCGGTCCACCTTGAACCCCGGCCCACCTTCGGACCAGGTCCGCCTCCGTTGTGCAGGTGTTGTCCCAGGGGCCCGGGAGGCCCGCAGCCAAGGCTCAGGCCTGGCACGCAGGCCCGGCCCCGTCTCCGGCCCCCCTGACGTCCTGCTCGGGTTGCTTTGCAGGCGGCAGAAGCGGACCGCAGACCACACCGTGGTGGACCTGGACGCGCGCGCGGGGAAGCCCGAGCCCTGCCCCACGCACCCGGCCGAGGAGCTGCGGCTGTTCTGTGAGCTGTGCGAGCGGCCAGTGTGCGGCACGTGCGCGGCGGGGGAGCACCTGGGCCACCC